ATCTCCATTGTTTTAAATGGAATACCCCATTTTTTTATATTATTCGTCGATTCTATGAGTTATTTTGAGTAATTTTTGTCACCACGTCNTAGAAGTAAATAATCTAATATCTGAAAATCAGCACGGATTTAGAAGAAATAAGTCTACTATTACGGCATTATTAAATATTCTTGATATCATATATAAAAAATTAGATGCAAATGATAAAATTCTAGCTTTATTTGTGGACTTGTCAAAAGCGTTTGATTGTGTCAATCATTCATTGCTTCTGAATAAAATCGAACGATATGGCATTAGAGGACTGTGTCACGACTTATTGAGGGACTTTTTAACAAACAGGGAACAATTTGTTCAATTTCTTGGTGTAAACTCAAAACAGTTACCAGTAACAACAGGTGTTCCACAAGGGAGTGTATTAGGACCTTTACTATTTTTGTTATACTGCAATGACTTGGAAAATTATATATCAACCTCTTATACTGCATTTGCGGATGACATAACAATGTTAGCTTGCCATAGACAACAAACAGATATGACAACATTGACAAATGTAAATCTTAGAAACATACAAGCATATTTTCAAATGAATCGTCTTGTGATGAATCAAGAAAAAACTTATATATTACAATTCCACCCTTTACTTTCTAATTATACAAGTAGTCCTTTGGTATCATTGAATAGGAAATCTATCGAACAGGTGACTTGTTTTAAGCTTTTGGGTTTACATATAGACATGCAATTGTCATGGAAAAATCATGTTGATTATATATGTCAAAAATGTGCGGGTTTATGCTTTGCTCTAAGGAGGTTATACTACATTGCTGATCAAGATGCTACTAGAGTATTTTATCATTCAAATTTCGAATCAATAATTCGGTATGCAGTAATGTTTTGGGGCAACTCAACAGCTTCCAACAGAATATTTATATTACAAAAACGTGCCTTAAGAAATATGTTCGGATTAAGATATTCTGAATCGTGCAGATCTACTTTTGTGGCAAAAAAAGTATTAACACTGCCTTGTTTGTACGTGCTTGAAACTTTAAAATTTGTAAAACAAAACATTTCCAAATTTAATCTTCAAAATAAATTTCATGATTATCCCACAAGATATGGTACAAATTTACAATATGACTTGCATAGAAGAGAACTTTATAAGTCAAATCCATATTATATGGGTGCATTATTATATAATAAATTACCAGCATCTATCAAAAGCCAAAATTTTACTAGATTCATATTTTTAATAAAGAATATATTGCATCAAAATGCTTTCTATTCTGTGAGCAGCTACTTGGCATACAATTTTAAATAGTTTATTGGTTCTCTCTTTTATTGTTAATAATAACTATTGTAATATTCGTTTTTGTATGACATTTTAGTACTTTTGTATATGTTTCAATTGTATTATATTTCTATTAGTCTTTACTAGTTTGTATGTTTTGACGTGTCCTATTATCCAATATTGTGATCTAGTGGACTAATAAATATTATTATTATTATTATATAAATATTAGTTTTTGTAAGTAACAAATCAGTAAAAACAATGCAAAACTAGCACGACGCCACACAATTATTTACATATTCCAACAACATAACCTCATTACTGATCTGAGTTGGGTTGATACTTCCGAACTACACGAAGAAATTGACGAAAATTAGAACTTGCTCTAATTCGCCAAGAACTTGTTATTTGACAGCAGATTTGGTGCATTACACTTGTCCAATTTCTTGATGAAGCGACTTCATGAATTAATTGTCAATGTAAAACAGCTATAAGAATTCGTAAGAAATACAAGGGGATTTTGACATTTAGATTAAATTCCTACTAGATCCGTTTTGAGATGCTCTATGCCCGCCTCAGATTAACCCGATCCTAACAGGTACCCTATTTATTTAACCATCCCCTGCATTTTTCGCCCTCGGTTGCCAGCGCTTGATCCGCCCGCCGCTTCCCCTAATTATCAAAGGGTAGAGCCCATAAATATAGTGATTAATTACTACACTCCAGCTAAAACGCAAGTTATCCGGTAAATTAAACCAGCGTAGTTCACAGAAATTAAATTCGCAGGTACGGTGACGGTCGAATCATACAAGTTTTATTCAGTTTTCGGCCGAGACGTTAATTAACTCTGTAATAAATGGTGGTTCGCATGATAATAAGGGCGCAAATGTAGTTTGGAAAAAAAAAGACAAATGACTCGGGTGTACAATGGCTGGATATACCGTGTCGTTGTAAATTATGTCTGGAAACGGGGTAGAACAAAGGTCAGCGCTGATTACGGTGCATCTGTTATGCACATATATCTATAAAACACATTTATTGAATGTGAAAAATGAACCATGCCCACTTAAAATACGAAAAATGAGATACGTAGACTTTCAAACTCAAAAAAAACCCAGAAAGAATAAGTATCAGCACCAGTAACAGTTTCTTGCATGTACGGTAATGACTATGGATATGAACTAAATAACAATAAAATTATTACTTTATGTGCAACAGAGATCTCTTCCAAGATAAATATGTATATTACTTAGTGCGTAAAAAGTCACAAATTTAAAACAGAATATTAAGAAAATAAATATGTTTCAGAGGAATAGGCTGTTTTATATTAATCATTTTTGGTAGGTATAAGAAAATTGATTATTAGTCCAATCAAATTTCTTCAAACTTCGCAAGTTCTATTTGAAAAAATAAGTTTCTATGTCACAAATAAACTGTTCTTATTTCTACTTCAATTGTATACAGTTTGTTTAATTCGAGGAATACACAAAGGAAACATTGGCTATTAAAAATGTTACGGGCCAAACTGAAATGTATAGAGAAAACCTTACCTGGTGTTTAACTTTGTTGCCTTGAGGCATTGGAATTCTAAAAAGAATTTTAATCGAAGAAAAGCACCTTTTGTGCTAAATACATTTCTACATAAACCTGAAAATAGTCTATTTACCGGTTAAACGTTTAATAATGTGCCACACTGAATGCGGTGTTTGCTGAATTGTGGTTTCGTATCAAATATAAAATCATTTATCAAAAGGTAAAATAGTGCAAAGCAAATATGATTTAAAAACGGGTACAGACGTCCTTCAAATACTCATTTTGAAACAGATATGAAGTATATTTATGTGTAACTGTACTTAGATGAACAACAAAGTTTTTATTAAATCAATAAACCAAATATAGCCTACAAACTTTACTTTTATATTGTCTAGACAATTAATCAATAAGTAGATGTAACTTTGTAATATTTTTATAAAAACGTATGATGTACTTTTACAGTTAGACAATGTTTTCACAAGTATTTTTACTTAAATAGTATAGTAACATTAAATTTCTTGTGCAAAATATGTATGTAGTGTTGATGACTTCAACGAATCAAAATGTTAACATTTCTAAGGAATTTTACTACAGCACATTATCTTATATAATATTTCTCTTACTTATTTTTTAAATGTTATACTTATGCATACATGTCACAAGCAAAACTGTTCTTATTCCATCATTTTTAATAAAGCATAGGTATAGTTGATATAAAATTTTGCTAGGCGATTTTTGAGTAGTACCTATTTGTCTATGTTAGGGTCGATGATGGAACATATTAGTTAGAAAATGTACGTGTGTACATCTGTATCTTTTTTTATCCTCTAATGTCTCCTTGAATTATTGGAAATCCAATCTATCATCTTCCTACAACCATCCTCGATCATCATCAACCATCCTTGACCATCATCAACTATCCTTTCCTATCATCGAAATATCATTCAAATACACCAAATAGCGTCTAAAATGAAAAATCTGACTCAACAAATAAACATTTAAACCAACGAAAAATTTAACCCAACCAAAAAGATTTAACATCGAAAAAGTGACTAACTCTACAAAAAATCATCTAAGCCAAAGTAAAATTATCTAATCCAAAGTAAAATCTTCTAACTATACGAATTTAAGATTTGTTTCTACGACCACTAAACTTTTTTTTATATGTAGTATAGGAATACATAAGTGGTATTTGAAATAAATATTAGTTGAAAAAAAACGTCATTTTATCGAACTGTCAACCGCGCAAAGTTAAGCAATCTTATAATACGTAAAAAAAAACCTCACCTATGACACACTGATGAGGACTAATAAGTCCGAAACCGATCTGTGCCTGGTGGGTTAAACCGACGAACGATCCTAGCTGTTGCACTAGGTGTTGCGAGTATAATTCAATGCCGGTCGGGGCATATAGCCCTCGGAGTAGTTGTTTCTCGCAACACTGGCAATTTAATGATATTTATGTTCGGAACATGTTTATAAAGGTGCACAATATTTTTTTTTCATTGATATAAGATCTATTTTTTTTTATTTTGGGGAATTAGATCTTTTTTGACTTGGCTTCGGGGTAGATATTTTCTTAGGTTATTTTTACGTGATATTTGTATGTAACGTCGTTTAATTTTTTTTGTTTCGCTTCGTTTATTTTCGCTCAGCATCGCTCATTTAGCACTTTCGCCTCGTTCCGCTGTTTTTACAGGGAGAATAAATGAATCGTTTCGAATTTATTTTTTATACTTGCACATTACCCTTTACTTATCAACCAAAAATATTATTGTTAATTTGTAGTGCAAACAATTATTTACATTACCATTATTTATATTTATACAATTTAACGCTCGCTAATATTGAAAGTACGTTATGTTTATAAAAAGTGACCAATTATTCTTAACCGTAATTGTTAAAAATGGTCGTCATTGTCCCGAAAAGTCAAAATTTTGGACATTCGTCTCGTACAGCCTTCATATCAGACGCAACTTAGCGGTTTCATTATAATGGCCGTAGCTGATCCCCTAGCGGCGATAAACCTGGCGATTCCGACGATATTTTTTCATCGCCAGCGCGAGATATTCGACGGCGAGCGTCGTCCTGATGCACGTGGTGGCGGGGCGCATGCGACGGCGTGAGCGGCGCTCCGGAGACCGCTCCGGTGGAAGAGGATCAGATTCCGCGCTGACTCCGGGCCGTTCGGTGGTGGTGTTTGGGTGATGCGATTCGCAACGAGTCACCGAGATGTTGCTCGTGGTCGCGAATGTGCCAGCAGTGCTGCTTCTTGGTTGTTTCGCCAGTTTTGGCCATGGTGAGTGGGCAGATATGTGTTATTTGAAACTGAATGAGAAAAAAGAGCCGAGATCTGAAATTAGGTACTTTCCGAACGAAAAAAGCCGTTTTTTGTTATTTACTAAACGGATTTATACATTGTTGGATATCTTTCGACTACGCGTACAATATTAGCGATAATATATTAGAATATAGGACGTTTGGTTGTTTTGTTTTTGGTAAATATTTAATCAACTTACAGTTGATTCTCAATTTTCTATTGAATTATTGTTAACCCATAAACAGAACAAATACTAATAAGCTAAAACAGTTCCTATATAGTTTTAATGTTTAGGTTTACATAACATTCTGCCCGACTTTTTTTAACCTTTTAATCTTTTTTGGAGACATAAACCAATATATTTGCTTTGATGGTTTGCATAATACCTCCACAATGAAATGCATTTTCCTTATAAATGATTTTATGATCCAAAAAAGGTCTTAATTTTGACCACCACATAGGTAGTTCTTTCTGTGGAGAATTCTGAAAGATAAAGTAAATGATTTAACAGTTTATGTGACGCAAAGGACAAAATATTGAACAAAATTATTAGTGTCAAGTAGATGGATAACAGTTAATTATAAAAAACTTACTTTTTATAAGACATTTTTTCTTAGTAAACCAAAATATTGTGCAAACTGTCGGAGATCACTATAATTATTAGAAAAAGAAAGGAAAAAAACGACAAATATTCAGGTTCCGTAAAAAAAACATTCAAACATTTCGTAAAACTGTGGGGCTTTACAATTTTTCCTATATGTAAAAATGATAAAGGGGGAATAACGAATGTTATAAGAATACATCTGTACATATTGTATTGCTAACGCTTGTTTCGCAAGTGTCTATTTAATTTTTAGTTTTTTTGATTTACGTCAAAATAATAAATAGAAGGAGAAAAACTATTGTAATGTATGAATAAAAAAAATTTTTGTCTAACGAAAATATTTCGTATCAGAAGATGAAATTATAGGCCGCAGCACCACAAATTGCTGGTTTCCCCATTATCAGTTTTCCAATCATTAGTCAAAGGTCATCTATATAAATTATTTACGACATGTCAAATGCCTCACATGATCATGTTTACTAGACATATAAAATGGCTAAAACCGTCTATATAAGAAAGAAATTTTATTATTTTAGATATTATATAAAAATACATAAAATATACTCATTATACTCATTATAAAAAATACATCTAATATACCTAAATTAACCTTATCATTAAGACACGACATTTCAGTTTGAAAGCAGGGGCATTACCTAGTGCGTTTATAATAATAATTTTATAATATTTTGGAATGCTTGCCTGGTTCCATATTAAAAATCTGGACGAGCTCTGGCAAATATCTGGAATATTACATATGTCTCCGCAGTAGATTCCTTTAGGCGATGTCCGCAACGGAGAAAAAATATTTTTATATAACGAAAACGACTGTTCGACATCTAATGACGTTATAGGTGCATATTTGAAGTAATCTCTAAAAGCAGTTAATGAATCCATGGGAGAGCTATTGCTATGAAGATGTCTTAATCTGGAGATATCTAGATTTTTTTCTTAACACACTGTCAAACTTTCTCTGACATAAATACTTTTCTCGTCACTTAAGGCATATAGTACTGTTTGTATGTTTTGGAATGCCAGGACACTGTTGGCGGAATTGACGAATACGTTTCGGGAATTTGAGAAAGACTGTCTTGGTCTGTGCTATTAATTCATCTACATCTGGGTAACACCGACGAATTATTTCTACTACAGGATGTAATGCGTGCAGAAACACTTATTTATTAATATGTACTTAATTTCGACATACTTATGCATTTACTTTTGAAAAAATTTTTACACTGAATAAATTTCGTCGATAAAGAAAGAACAAAAAACATAGTATATGATAGATCTTGTTCCATTCAGTTCGTTAATATATTAAAACTAATTTTTGTATAATTACCTAAACGTTATAAACATTATTTTATTTATGCAAAATGTCTATATAATTTACCCATAAAAAGCATCCTGTACAAAGAATTAAAATCTAAAATATGGTTTTCTGGCGAATATTTAGATGTCTATCAAATACTTGAAAAGTATAAAATGTTTCATTTACGTCGGTGTTTTATTTGGGAAGTTATTTCTATCATCTAAGCTTTAATAGCAATTTGAGAAACGAATTCTGCGATCAACTGTTTTCTCAGTATGTTTTTACGACGTCTTCGAGTGGGAGCATAATTTCACCGATAAGGCTGCCATAAAAATAATATTTCATGTACCCCATCTTTCCAGGAAGTTAACACGATCTCATGCGCACTTACCTCCTTGCCTTTGTTTTTCTTTTGAGGGTTGGAGTCGAACCGGAGGAGGAAATAAAAAATCCCGCTGCGTGGAATGTTTGCAGGAAGCTATTCTGAGTGTTCCGTTCCGCAGTACATTTCCAACATCACTCGGCATGTGTGTATGTGTAAAACCTCTCCGCAGTTTTGTTTTCAGCTTTTCTGAATAGGACTGCAATTTTCTTCCTGGTCGAGTCGAATATGTAAAGGAATAATTAAAGGAACGTCTAAAATATTTGCTAGGATTTAAAGCGGTACAAATTTAGTAAATGTTAATACAGAACGTTTATTAAATAAATATTTTTCGTTTTAAGTTCTAAGAAAGCTTTTTAATAAGATGAAAAAAGTAAGTACCTACCTAATCTCTAAAAAAATTCACAGAACCGATAATTCGGAAAAATTTAAATCATTTGAAAAAAATTGAAAAATTAATAGAACTGATCATTTGAAACTAGAACTTCGCTGAGTAAGTTAAACTTTATTACAGTTATTCCAGATTATATTTCGAGTTATAAAATTGCCCTAATTAAAGAAAATTTGCGCCTAGTTTTATATGCAAATTAATCGTTTCCAACTGTCTGATTTAGTTTTTTTTAATCAGAGATAATTTAAATTAGAACCGGTGTAATTCAGGTAAATAATATGACGTAAATTCAAATATGTAGTTGATTTTTCAACTAAAAATTATAGTACCCATTTTATTTTATTTATGAAAACAGCAGAACAATATATTTACATATTTTTTACAAAGCTAAGTGAACATATTTGGTTGGTTGAGTCATTTTAGTGATAAATGAGATGAGTGTCATTATTTTGTTGCAGTTCCTGAGGGACGTCGTCTCAAAATTTTAACTGCAACAAACTCGGTACGTGCTCCGTTGTCCTTCCGTGATGAAAATAATAAACACCTCCTGGAAATTACTTAAGACGGGAACGGAAAATATATGTCGGTGGTGATTAGAATATTAAGATTTTTAAATAGATAGGGCCGGTAATACGGGAAAATTTTAAATTGCGTACCGGAAAATGTGTAGGAAATGTGTTTTATTCATATTCATTATTTTTCCAAGTTCCATGTTTGCATGGGAAAGGAAATTGGAGCCCTTACCGTTTCAGTCTATGATTACATTTTTTTTTCTTTGAATGTAAACATTATTTTCACAAAATTTCAGCAGCACTTCTGATGTTTATGAATTTGTTGAAATAATAACCTGTTACGACAAAATTAATCTCAATATAAACTTTGAATATCTAAATTACCTTCCTAAATTATCTTCCATATTTAATGTATACTTTCATTCTCTGTAAAAAAATAAATGTGTGCTTTTATCATCTCAATTGTTGCTATCTTAATATTAAACTTCATTAAGTTTGTGACAATTGTGACAACTAATAAAAATAATGTTAATTACAATAGTTTAAAAAACGACCATACATAAAACGATTACTGTGAAGGGCATGCAATTATAATAAATATTAACTGAATAAAACATAATGTTAGGATGTGTTCATAAATATTCCGAAAGACATTAAGATACAAAGCAATTTGAATAAAATATTAAGATAATGCTCAAATAAAAATTTAATCCATTTAATACGACATTTGCATGGTTTCTTCCATTACTTACCCGTCTGATACCAAGCAGTAACTCGTTGATTCTCTTTCTCACAATTTTTATAAGGTTTCTAAGATCATTATACTTCTGGAAATGCCAGTTGTATAATCCGTTAGGTACTTATTTTTCAAAACCTTACGTTTTAACGTTTCAAGAACGTAATATCTGGTGACGATATGAAATATTATAATTTTCGTTAGGAAAGGAATACAATTTCTATTAGTAGTACACTACGACTAAAGATAAATTTTATCCTTTCTGTTTTTTTTGTAAATGTTAAAAGGTCAAAGTAGACAAACATAAAACGGTGCTGGATATTATTTATTATTTACCAGCACGATGGCGAGCTTCTTTACGAGTATTATGGCGGCTTGCCTTATGTTATATAGCAGTAAATATAACAAAAGTTAGAAAATTTATATGAACAACGTGAACTGGTAGGTGAGCTTTTTCAGATTTCCTTTACGTTCATATAGTTTAACCATAGTTAACTGTACAGCTTGGTCACATATTGTGAACTTTCACTTGACAAGGAAAATATTACATTTATTTTTTATAAAAATGTCTCGAAAATTAAGTTTCTGTTAAGTTTGATATACCGGGTGTTCCACATAAAAGTCCTCAGCCTCGTATCTCGTCAACAGAAAGAGATATTTTGATTTTGAAAAAAAAAAGACAGATGATAGAGCTCATCGATGGCTTCGTCAAGGAGTGCAACTTGATTTTTCAGAGCAAATTGGAGATGGCGCTGAAATCGAAAGAAATTTTTCGTTGCACTGGTGCACGGTATTTAAATTTTTTGCAAAACCACCCTCTTAATTTCCATTATAGAATCTATACGTGACGTTTAGAATTACATGACATTAATGTGAAATGATTCAGGGCTCTATTTTTATTATTTATTTCGTCATATTTTAATAAATTAAAAACGTATCCGGGTACGTCCGATGCGATATCCGGAATCAAGTTATTGCATATCCTTTGAATTTTAATTTTTATTGGAAGATAAATAATATCTGCAAACATTATATTCACAGC